CTGTTAAAGCTTCACTAACCATAGCTGGAACACCAAGTTATTTTATAAGGCTTGGTTTACTTAATTGTGTTTACTTATTTGTTTTGTTTCACTTTTTAAAGGAATTGCCAAACAAGTAAAATGGAAACACAACTGCCTAAGTAGGAGTTGCAGAGATTTGAGACTGAAGGCCAATATCAAACTTCCATAAGTCATTTAGTAAAAGATGGCTTACAGTGAAATAGTTTGACAATAAATACAAAACTATTATCAAATGGATGACAAAGGACAATGGTGAAGTAAGAAAGTGCTTCATTATCCCTCCCCAACAGGTATCTTGATACTTTCTGTGTGAGCTGGCAAAATAGGTGGGAGTTTGCAAGCTTCTCTCGTAACTGTTCAAAAGATGCTAAGAAAGTGCTTGCAGAGATGGGTCTTTGTTGCCAGTGGCAAGGCAAATAAAAAAAATACTTAATACACAGTGTAGTATTTTTCAGGTGCATGTAATTGGCATAATTTAATTTTAGCATTTACTTTCAGCCCAACTTTTGTATTTATACAAGACATAAAAGTAGCCTTCGATTTGAATATATATGATATGAAAATATGCCCACAGTTAAAAAAGAGTTACGTTGCCATACTTGGTGATAGTCTATAGAATTAAGACTTTCTTTAGGCTGGTTGAAACATCACCGGTAATGGGAAGTTTAGAACTGAGTCTTGTCCCTCATTCTGTCAAAGAGAACAGACGTTTGTTGTTAATTCCATCACGGTTTTGGTATAATTAGTTTCCTGAAAAATGGGCTGTAATAGAGCCAGAGCCTCGCCTGGCCCAGCACGGCCTCCAGCCCCAGCGGTGCCTCTGCCGGGCTCGCAGAAAACGCTTTCTAAGCAGTTTAGATTCTAAACAAGCGCACTCGGTATCATACGGGTTTTACGGTGCAGTTTCGTAATCCCCCTCGTTAAGAAAGGCTAATTCCTGTTAATTACAGCGGCGCTCCGGGCTGTGCGGGCGCGGCTCCGGCGCTGCCGCCGCTCCAGGCGGGCGCGATGGCGCTGCCGCCGGGCGGGGCCCGCTCCCGGCCCCGCTCCCGGCCCCGCTCCCGGCCCCGCTCCCGGCCCCGCTCCCGCAGCACTCACCCCAGGAGCTGCCGGCGCAGGGCCAGCGTCTGCTGCCGGGAGCGCGGCTGTGCCGCCCGCATGGCCGCCCGCGGGCCGGCGGCGGAGCGAGGGAGGGAGCGAGGGAGGGAGAGAGGAAGGGAGGGAAAGAGCGGCCGCCTCCCGCGGGGCCGGCCGGAGGGGAGGAGAGGGGAGGGGAGGGGAGGGCAGGGCAGGGCAGGGGAGGGAAGGGAAGGGAAGGGAAGGGCAGGGCAGGGCAGGCGCGGCCGGAGCGCCCAGCGCAGCCCCGAGCGCGGCCCGCGGGCGCCGGGAGCGCGGCGGGGGCTCAGCCGGAGCTCGCCCAGGCGGGGCGGGCGGCGCGTCCCTCGCAGGCAGCAGTGGGGACGCGCGGGGACAGGCTGGAGCCCCGCAGGGCTGCTGGCAGCTCACCCTCAAACCACACCCCCCGGGGGTTCACCCTGCTCGGATTCATCCGCCCCGCATCCCGCTCACCTCGGAGGGTACCTTAGTACAGCTATAGCACTTTGCATTTGAAATACACATTGAGGAAGTTTCTTTTACAGTTGAAAATAATTGGAGTCGGTAGTCAGGGTGGTAGAACTGAAATAATCCTTCCACATCATTGTTAAAGCAGAAGAAGTAAACCCAGCCTTTTACAGGTTGTACCCCTGTGTGTGGTTGGTGGCAGATAGGGTAGGCACCTGACTGACTCCTTCAGAGGCAACCCTAAAGCAGGTCACAGTTAGGATTAAAAGAGGAAATGCTGTCAATCAGATTAGAATGGTCTTTCTTCCATTCCTGTTTGACTGGAATTACCTAAAGAAAAATAGGAAAAAGAACTAGAAAGAAGGTTCTGCGATGCATTGAGTTCTTCTACTTCAGGTGTTGTATCCCATAACCAAGTTCATCAGCTTTTCCAACTTGATTCTATAAAGTGACAAAATTTTTCCTTCAAAATACACATTCAAATTTTTTTGGTTTAAACTAACAAACATCTTTTAAAAACTCTAGAAAAACAGAACAGATAATTTAAAAACTACAGTTGGCAGATTTTGCTCACTAGGTATAGCCACCATTAATTGTCTCTAGTTGCAATTACTTAATGACCACAGGAGTAGTAAAAGTTTTGTACAATATGGAGAATGCAAAACCAAATTGCTATGTACTTAAAGTTAGATTGAACTTAATCTAACTACATGGTTTCATAAAGGTCAGGTTTTAAGTAACAAAAGACAGTGAAGAAAAAATTAATAATAGCTGTTAATCTTTATTTGAACTCTTGTCTGGTTAAGATATTTACTAGCTATTTATAATAACAACCTGAACATTTACAATTTGGAAAGTTTACTCTTGGTTACAAATGCAGAGTTCATTATACATATTCACACAATTGTAAAAGTAATCTGTACAGAGAGACCATTTCTAAAATCTAGTCTTTGCTTTTATTAAAAAAAGCACAAGAAAAACGGTTTTTTTAGGTCTCAAGGTAATGTCCATTACACCTTTAAACTAGAAATATATGATGTAATACTAATTAATATCATTTTAACATGTTAAAACACTGGATAAGAAATACTGTTATTAATGCCTTCATTTTTAAAGTAGTTGCTCCCCAAAGAAGAGTAAATAGAATACTTTTCGTGGCACATACATGATCAAGAGCCACAAAAAGTTTGCAAATGAAAATGTTAAGTACATTTTCTGTAATTTTAGTATCTATATATTTCTTTTCAAAGGTCATATACAGAGATTTAGCCAGCTTTGTATAAAATACCATGTAAATACATTCAAAACTCATTTTTGGCAAGCTGCAAACACACAAACAGCCCTTTCTCCTCTGAACAGCCTCCCCGGAGTGATGCAACCACTCACATAAATGAGGGACACTTGCATAACATGGTAGAGGATTAAGCTCTGTTGACATAATTTCAAAACAGATATGGACAGATAAGGCACACGTTGGATATATTTTTCTAAACTGTATACAGATTTGAGATACCAGCAGGTACAATTTCTCAAATGCTTGTGTACCCACTAGTTTTGTGTCGTTTCTTTGTCCAAAGTCATGTAATGCAGCAAAGCAGGGGGTTTTCAGTTTTGACTGTGGTATTTGTGCTGAACATTCTTCATATTCAGTATTTTTGATTGCTTTTAGGATAGCAGAAAAAGAAACCCAAACTGAAACTCAAAAAGCTGTTATGAAATTGTTTATAAAACTGCAGTCTATGAAACAAACCAGCAAACACAACATACTCCAGCTCTCATTTGCACTGATACCTTTCCTGCTATATTTACAAATTCAGTGGATATCATGGGTGCTTTTGCTTTGCAAAACCAGATTGTAATTTTTTAATGTAATTGCAGAAATACAAGTTTGATTAGCACTCACCTACACACAACAAATTCCTGTAAAATTAACTTTTAAAATACATTGTTTAACAGTATAATAAAAAGCAGCAGATGTTTTCAATGTCGTTTACAGATACTTGGGTCTCCTGCCTTTTAAGTTTCTTAGTATCTAAGTTAATATCTAAATTTCTTAATAGCTAATGTTCATTAATATCTAAGTTATGTAAGGAACCACACAAGTGAGCTGACACAGAAGTGAGGTGACTGTTCCATGAAACCACACTTAAGGCAACTTCTAGCAGAACTTAACAAAATAGGAATTAATTGTCCTAAGTCATAGGAAAACCACAAATGTTACTAATGTTACTTATTCTACTCTCTTGTCAATAACTAAACTTCTTATGCATGGAAAACTCTTGTTTCCCAGCCTTCCTGTGGTTTCCCCCAGGCTCTCTGCAGTAGTATACAATAATATAATCTATTAAGTCCTTCCTCCACTGATATCTAAGTGACAGATTCTCAGCACTTACTTTAGCTGCAGGTTACACAACAGTCACGCATCTCCTGTGCTATGCCATCTAATGGGACACAAGCACATGGCAAAGTTGCAGTAGTTCACCTGGGGATGTGAAAATACTGAAAGCAATTTTTAGCTTACAAATATAAATTGTCGCCAGGGAAAATAAAGTTTAGGAAATTGTTTTTTTACTCACTGGTTTGCTTCAGTCTGTAATAGATTCCCCCCAGGTGGAGCTCTGGAGTATTCCAAACTGAATTAATTACAGCCAGGTCCAGTGCAGTGCCAGGAACACGTTTAAAAGGCAGGTGACTCCAGTAAGTGACACTGTGACTGGTCTAACTAGAGTGACCAAATGTTTCTCTCTGCCCCTTCTTTTTATTAAAAAAAAAAAAAAAAACCAAATGTTTCTCTCTGCCCCTTCTTTTTTTTAAAAAAAAAAAAAAAAACCAAACAAAAAAAAAACCAACACTGTTGCAAAGGGTCAAGAAATATGCTTACATAAACTCTGTCCTGTAAGGTTGACAGGTTCAGTGTGTGCCACAGTGATTGCCTTGGCAAGTTAGAGTGTTACAGGCCTTTTGAAATGATCCATATATGTAACTTCTCACTTGAAAATCTCTGGTTAAACCTCTGCAAGGCTGGCTGTGCTGCTCAGCACGTCAGCCTGTCCTGAACAGGTAAAATCCACGAGTTCCAAATGAAACAAAGCAATATGGAGGTTCTTTCCACCTCTGGACACTCCTTCCTCTGCTAGAGCACATTGGAACCAAACTCACTAATCTGAACTCAGCCACATACCTGCACTATTTGTCCAGGATGAGTAGCTTGGTGACATTTAAATTTTTATATCTTAATAATTTGTAGTTATTCATATTTTGCATATCTTAGAGAGAAATCCATTGCCTACAAAGGAAATAATTCAGAGCTTCCATGCTTAAAATTTTAAAAATAGAAATGTGTCAGGAAACCTACTATAGGTAGATTATATGTGTGTAACACTGTAAATTATTTAGGCAACAGTGGGACTGAAAAAAGGTGAAAATACAATTGTATTTCCCAAAAACGAAATATCAGATTTGGAAAAAAACTAAAGTTTCTATCCATGCACTCCTGGTTTTACAAGTGTCTATTCAAACTATAGAGTTACACAAAAGTAATGTGTGCTGTACATTAAGAGACACTATCACAGCACAAAATTTGCATAAAATTTGCTTCTGTTTAACAAAGTCTCCTCTGGAGGGCAGCATTGAACCAGCATTCACCTTTACAATGCACACATTACATTGACAGGCCAGTGAAGTTATTTACAGTATGAGAAAGCTGGAAACGTGATGGCATCTTAATAGTTTAATTAATTTTTATTACTTATTTTAATCAGTTGTGCATTACAGTGTGTGAGTTCTTGCATTCTTGCCCAAAACCTGCTATATTTGGCTGAGTGTAAAACCAAAACTTTATCCAAGGTAGTGGTTACTGTAACCGTCTTAAAACCACAGGTGTCATTTTCCTTGGATTACTTTGCATCATTGCATGGGATGTCTTAAACTGCTAAAACCTCCCACATGTTTTGCTGGTTTGCTTAAGGATTTCAAATGCTAAATTTATGAAATTACAGAAGACAAAAGTTCATCTAAGTATTTCATGTATTGGTTTCCTAAAAAGAAAACACATCAGAAAATCTCTAACCATTAAAAGAAACATTCTTATTTTTAAATACACAGGAGAAAAATCCATACAGAAAAATTCATCACCATTATATATACAGGAAGTGTCAGAAGCAGTGCATACAGAAGAGGCAACTCCCTAGGGGAATAAAACAAAGCATGTGGCAATACCTTGATTATGATGTTTTTAAACTAAAATATTGATGAATTGACACTTGGGAACAGTTCCAGTTTGGGGTCAGATCAGGATTTCTCTGCCACTTGTTTTGTAACCTCAAGAAATATTCCTGAATTCACAGGCCAAGCCATGACTGAGCTGCACAACTCTAAATTAATCTCATTTGTCTCCATCAGAACAGGCCAAATTATTTTGTTCATGCTCTGGCAAGGTTCCTCTCAAGCTGCCATCTGTGGAGTTACACACATGGGGTTTTTTTCCCTTCTTCCCCAAATCCATCCTCCCCAGAAGCTTTAGGGAGCACTCCTATCCTCACAGCTGGATGCAGCATCAGCCCTCCTGGAGCACCAGCACTGCCACAACCACAGGCAGCAGCAGCTCCAGCCTCAGTCACTGTGGGGCACAGCAAGGCAGCCCTGCCTGCAGAGCTTTGTGGCTGGAAAACCTTTTAGGCCTCTCAGGAGAGTTCTTGTGCCCTTATCATTCAGTTTGGGAGCTTTGATTCCAAAACCCATTGGGCTACAGCGTGTTAAGAGAGAGGATGTTGGTGGTGACTGGAAGGATGGTCATTAGCTACAGTTTGAAATGGAACAAGCCTTACAGAAAACTGTCCTCTGCTCCTGGGTAGCAGCAGACATAGTTGGTTTAACCTCATAGAAAGCACTGTGCTTTCACAGGCACTTAAATTAGAGGCAGGAATTTTGTTTTGTCAACTAAAAACAAGAATATATTTGTCTGAGTTTCAGGTTCACCCAGTATCAGTAACCCAGAATGTCTATTGATGAATTTATGAAGTTACACCAAATATTTTAGTGATCAAGAAAAATCAGTGGCTCAGTCTAAGCCTGACTCACATTTTGTAAGCGTTAGCAGCCTCTCTGTCAGTCATCTTCATTGCTGCTGACATATAGTGGTAACATTCAGCTGCTTTTTGGAATTGCTGTAAAGCAGTCTCAGATTCTTTCAAACCAGAGGGGAAAACAAAAGAAGAGAGATCTCCTGGGGGAAAAAGCTCCCTAAAGTTTGTGAAAGGCTGAGATCATGACTGAGATTTGAGCAAGACTGCCAGTACTACCTAGAAGTAAAATTTGTCTTCGTGAGCTATTCATAAAGTATTCAGAAAGACCCACATAAACAATGTCATATGGAAGGAGAAAATAACCAACTGATCTGGCATGAATTTGCAGAGCAAAGCACATCTTTTCAACTCACTGCAGTAAGATCATGACTGCTCTGGATTTAACAACTGCTCTTCTGAATATGTTGGTGTATAAGGCACATGGAAGTTTAAACAGATTTCCTCTTAGACTCTGTGAAATCAGTACAAAACCCAAGAGTTTCTCCAACTAAATCTGTTGATCTGAACGGTATGATTGATAATCACAGAGTGGCTGGGCTTGGAACAGTCTTTAAAGGTCATTGAGGTTGAGCTCTGTGCCGTGGGCAGGGAGCCAGGGACACTGGCAGAGTCTAAAGGCCAAATGCCCCAACCCAGCTGAGGACCAGGCAGGACTCGAGGTGCCAGTGCCAGCCCTGCTGGGATCACCCCCTGCTCTCCACAGGGCTCTGCTCCTTTGACCAGGGGGTGGTAGAGTGGATGTACCACCCCCAAGGAGTGGGGAGAGATCCAGGAGACCCACTGGTTCCTCATGTGATTCTCATAGCCAAAGTGGCAGCAGCGTGCAGCATGATCCAGCATTCCTGATGGGAGTGGCAGCAGCAGGGCTCTAGAGAAGCCACTGCATGTGAGCAGTGAGTCCAGTGTCCTGAACATTCCTGACTGGCTGCACGTGCATAGATGATCTTTGTACATGCAGCACCAAGGGCCTTTTCCTGGGAATTTCCAAGGAGGGTCACAAAAAGGTTTGGTAGCTGAGCTGTAGCACTGGTGGGGGTGGATACAGCTGCACTCCTGTGCTAGAGTGGTAATTCCAGCCTTCCTCCACTACCAACAAGTGGCCTTGGGTGCTGTGGCAGCAGAGGCTCTGTGCTGGGAGGGGGATGGTGGCCTTGCACAGGGGTGAGAGGGTAAAGCACTATTCTGGTATTCTGTGTCAATGTTTTGCAGGCCTGGCAGTGGTCACAGTTGATGCCTACAAGCACTGGATATTCCACAAGTTGAAGACGGAATACTGACTTGTTTACCTGAAGATAATAGGACTTCGGGGTATTTCCTCAGAGAAAATATAAATTTTAATATAATTTCATAAGCTTTGGAGGTTAGCTTGTCTTGTAGCTTCAGTGATATCAAACTTCTTCAAGTAGGAGCTAGATAGAAAGCTGTTTAGTTTTTGCCAGCGTATGTAAAACAAGACTTTTCTATCTGCATTGTAGATTGTTTGTGGACACTTCCAGATTCTTGTGCTTTCTGCAGTCATTCTGGGGACTGAACTCTCATTGATATTGAAAGAAGTTCCATGAACACAACATGTGCAGGAATTTGAGTGTAGAAACCCACAGTGTGGTTTGGAATAGTGAAGTGCTTTTGGTTTGGAGATGACTGGGGGAGATGAGAAGAACAACTGTACATTAAGGGAACAATTACAGATCTTCCTGGTGACATCAATGAGAGATTTGCCTTCAACCTTTCACAGAAAATTTTTTAGCTTTAATTTGGGATATTAAAGGGGTTTTTCAAAAGCACTAAAGGCCAGTGGAAGCTTGTTAGCTGCTCCTTACGCCTTTAAAAACCCCTACACCAAAAGTGATAGCCGAGAACATAAAATGGAAGTAAATAAAATGCATTTTCATTGCTGTTTTGAGTTATATAATTGTTGTTTCTTGATTTGTTAGTTGATCTGAATTTAACATGGATTTAATCTGTATGGTGACCAAGGAAATGGTGAGTAACTGGTAGAGATGCCAAGTATAGCCACAAAGCCAGTGATGTGTAGGTGCAGCCCCTGAGCAGCCAAGCAGGTGACAAATGCACTGCCTACAGCCCGAGGCTCTGTCACCTCTCCTGAGCTTGGTGGCCATTCCAGCACTGACCAGCGCAGAGCACAAGCTCACCCTGACTCCTGGGATAGCCCAAGGACACCCAGAGCCTGGTCACAGATGAGAACTCACAGACACCAGGCATCACCCCACCTGTGTGGAGCACAAAGCACATTCCCACTGTTGTTCACAACATCGGAGCAAGACCTGCAGCACTAGGTCAGCTTGGACAGGGCAGGGTGCACCTGGACAGTCACATCCCTCTCTCAGGCCCTCTCTGGCAGTAGCTACAGTGAGAGTGGCAATAAAACAAGACTCTTAACAGAGCTTTTGGATCTACTCAGTGCACCTAATCTGCCTCCCTTCTGTATTCTCTAAGACCAAGGCCACAAAGAGCCATAATACTGTGTTTGATATCATGGTCAGGCTCCTGATTTCACCTAAAACTCCTACACTGAGCCCAGAAACTTGTATTGAGCAAAGTATTTCCTCCAGACATGATCTGTTAAATCAAAAGGGCATAAAGGTGATAGCAATTATGTCACTGATCTGGTTAGGATTAACCAGTTTTACCAATAAAAATCCACAGCGTACTGTTTTGAGTTTGTGGCTTCAACTTCAACTTCTACCCATTGGATGAGTATTTGTATATCTTTTCTCTGTGCAGTTTAAAAAATTGTTAATACAAAGTATCTCCTCCCTGTAAAGGAATCTGGTTGCTTCTTGATCTCTATTGTAAGCTGAACAGACTCGGCTGTAAGCCCTCTTCTTCCTCTTTGAAATATTTTTTATGGCTCTCTGCTGCACAATTGCTGTTTTTTCAACATCTTAAAAAATGTTGAACTGTGGAATAGTTTGCAATTTTAATTTATCCCACAGTGGTATATGCAGATATCAAAATAATGATATTACCCTGCTCTGCATGGGATGTGCCTGAGAAGAGATAATTTAACAAAAGAGACTGAAAAGGTGAAGAAAAATAAGACAAGAGGAGAGTGCAGAGTTAGTTTGCAGTTAAAACTATGCAAACCAAGAAGAAATAAAAATCAAATGAACCCCGCAAACCAAGTCAATTAAATACTCAAAACTCCCAATTTCTGGGAACCCCAAGAGCAACATTATGTGCTCTGTTGTTTAAGAAAGGACTTGAGGAGAGCCTCCCCTGTCCTGCAGCTCCCTGCACTGAAAGTATTGCCAGGTTTTTCTGTTTTGAAATGCTGCAGCAGAGGCTTCCTGGGGAACTTGTGTTCCACAGTAACAAAGTGCTGGCACATCTTCAGGCTCAGACCCCAGAACAGGATCCACAGGTGCTTCCTCTTGAGGAAAAAAGTTTCTCTTGATTGTAGAGGAGATAACCACAGGCAGTCAAGGGTGTTCAGTTTAGCCCCAGAATTGCTGTTTCCATCACGCCCACAGCAGGTAGTGATGGATGGAGCTCAGCTTTGTTTCCTCTACAGGTTGCAAATCCTTCTCCTGTTTGACCAGACAGTAGACAGCAGCTTCTTTCATATTTAAGGCTGCATCCTTCTTTTCTTTGTTTTCAGCCAGGTTTTTTCATCCTTTTAATGTGTGTGTATAATGCAGATATGAAGTTGAGAGCCAGATTAGGACAGAGGTTTTGCCCTCCTTTCATGCAGTAAGGCACACGAGGCTGGCTCAGTACTGTTAGTTGACACTGCAGCATGAGCAGGGAACACTGTTCATCCTCAGCTACTGTCATCAGTATCTTTAGCAAATCCTGGTGTTACCATGCAATGGTATGGGTTTGGGAGCTTTACATTATTTTCCAAGTCCATAAATGTCAGAATCCAGTATAAAAAAAGGTCAATATATTACTGTCAAAAGTGTTTTTTTCCTTTTTTTATACAAAAATTAAAAAGCTCAAAATATATCACATTATTTACATATTGTGCTTCATGCTTAGTGATCACTGCAAGAGAACACACAAACAAACATTTTAATCAGAGAAATGCTCCATTCATTACACTTACTAACCTTACTGTTAATACTATAAGGATTGGCATTCAGATTTATTTTCCTATTAATGGTACATCCAAACAAACGACACAGAATTAAAACCTTTGATATACCAAGGGTATGCTCACATTCTAACAGGGTTTGCAATCAGTTAGTGGCATGCTGTTAACTCCAGCTGTGTCCACATACCACATGTTTACAGCTGGGTTTGTAATTCCACTCAGCTTCAGTGTCATACTCTTGTTGGAGAATGAGGATTCTCCTACAAGTCTGGATCAAATCCTCATTTTACAGGAGTACATGTCTCTCCTCATTCTCCCAGGCTGCCAGTAGCATTTCCAAGCCCTGGCTGCTCTGGATGCACGAGATGCTACAAATTACCTGACCACTGCACCCAGGCTGCTGATCAGAGCACTGAGGCAGTGCAGTGGTTGTGAGTTATAATTAAAATGGCAGAAGAGTCTTTGTTAGAAAAGAAATGTTTGGAACTCTGCAACAAAGAGACAACCCATTGTTAACTTCTCAGCTGGGAGGGCATGGACTGGGTAAGGCACATGAGCACATGGTGCAGCCTTCCCATGGGTGCTTGCTTGGCCAGGATAAAAGCCTGAGCAGGCCTGTAAAAAGGCATTCTGCTGACAGTGTTAACAATGATTTGTCATTCTTAGCAAGTTTTTGGTGTTCCCAGCACCAGCCCAGAACTGGGGGCAACAAGACCTGAAGCTGCTGGAATCCTGCTCTCCCAAGGTATCGTTATACCATGTCTGCCAGGCCTGTGAGCTGTTGCTTAAAGCAAGTGCAGCAGTGCAAACAGTCACCATGCAGGGAGCAAAATTCCTCAGGACCTGTTCAAGGATATACAGTTATTAATGTTACTGTACCTTATGCCAACATCCTGCTACTGGCAGTCCGTCTGGTCCCTGCAAAATTGAATTTACAGATTCAGTTTTCCTGACAGTGACTTAAGTGTCAGACCCAAAAACCTGAAGCTCATTTGTCAAAATGAAAGGCTTAGGAGCACTGTTAATTACCATGCAAAACTCATTTACTGTATATGCACAAAAATGAATATGCAGGCAATGTAATCCATATGTCACACACAACACAAAATTAAATACACCTCAGGGTAAATGAAAAAAACAACTTGGAAATCTACACTTATTTTTCCTCTAAATGAAGAAAACGTGTACAAATAGATTTGAAATCACAGTCCATTAACTTCATGATCTGCTTTATAAGGTAGTGTATTTTGCAATCAGACATATATATGGAAAGCATGATGTGGGAATGTATTTTTTGTTAAAATGTGCTTTTCTGCTTGGAGGAGGTGATGTAAGTATTTTTTTTCCTAGATGGTACCCTAATTGTGTTAAATTTGATCCTGCAGTACTTAGTTGCTTTAAGAAATCTTGAGTTGCTGAACTCAGAGAATAGAATGAGTTGTGGACTATGCAAAGGGAGTGAAAATATTTGTCTTGTTCCACGGGAGATACAAGAAACATAGAAACATACAGAAGAAACACACAAGAAGATACAGAAAGCCAGGAGAGCTCTCACTCCAGGAGGAGAACACTGGAAAGGAAGGAGCCCCTTAGAAGAGGAACAAGCTATGAATGACCCGCTCTCTCAAGGCACTTCAGAAGAAATATCTGACTACAGCTGCCTTTCCTGATGCTGGATTTGTTTAAGGCTCTTGGATCTCCAATTACATGAATTTCTGCATGTAGAGCCACAGAGAGCACACAGGCACTGACCCTTCCCTCAGAGCCATCTCAAGGCTCACTAGGGCTGGGAAGATGTGGATGCAGCAGAGAGAACTGCTAGTGCAAATACAGGTCAAAATGCAATTTTACATTTTTTACTGTAAATGTTAGTCATCACATTTTTTGTATTCTGTATTGATTTTATATGTAAAATAGCCTATGCCCAATAAAACAGATGCAGTGAAGTAAGGTAACCCTCTCCAGCTACTCATAGTGTAAGAAGTCATGCTGTCCTGTAACCTTAGTTAGAAAACACACTTTATTTTTTTCTGCAGACACAGTCAATCTTTTGGTCCAAAGCTATTAAAAAAAAGGGTAAAACATACATTTTCCAGAGTTGTCTGGGGGTGATGGGTACAGGGGACAAGGTGCAGAGTGGTTGACCTAAAATGTTCTGACCTGCTGTTAAAGTGCACCCTAACCCTGATGGTCAGGGGGTTGATTTCTGCCCTGAGCTATTTCTCCTTCTTGTGCACTCAGAATATTTATTTTGACCATCATAAAACTCCACACCTTTCTACCATGTTTCACTCAAGCGACTCCAAAATGATTCTTCATGGCTGTGTGTGTGGGGTTCCTGCTGATGCTCCTGGACTGAAAGCCCAGCAAGCCTCCACTGCACCCTGGGCTGCAGAACAAAATCAACATTTCAACCAATCTGCAAATAACCAGGAAGATGCACAAGTGCTCTACTGATTGGTCATGTTGTAGCTAATTGCAGGAATCACCTACTGCAGTTTACAACACCTTCAAATGGGTCCTGTGTTTTCTGGATAGTTAAGATGGGAGATGCTTAGGAAATAGAACATCTCTGGGGAGTAAGAAAGAAGTTAGAGCAGGCCTGCTGTTAGGAATTGGTTTCTTGGACACATCTGAAAGTAATTTAATTTTTTGAAAGAGAAACAGCTTACTGCCCTTTTGTTTCTCTGAGGACAACTGCAAATCATCTAACATGCAGCATTTCCTATGGTTAAAAACATGAAAATAAAACAATGACCTCTCTTAGCTAGTGGTGCAGAGCCCTTTGGGGGAGCAGAGCATGAACCTTCCTGCATAACCACTGGACTCAGCCTGAGCTCTGGGCAGAGCTCTGTGCTGACACAGCAAAACCCTTCTCATGCCCAGAGTGCCAGTGGTCCTGCTCTGCAGGACTGGCTGTTTATTTGAGGAAAACCTTTCAAATTCCAGCTGGGAATGGGACTCAGGCACAAGGGGAATCAAACTGGGGCATAGGTACTGAGAGAAACTCTGAGCATCTATTACCAGAGTTTGAGCATCTAAAAAAAGTTTGAAAGCATCTAACTTTGTTACCATAAAGGGACTGACATCCGCTGCATGGTCTCCCATGATTTACACTCCTTACCTAAAGTCATTTTAACTGGGAAGAAGGTGGCACAACACATTGGCATCCTTCCCCAAAATGGCAGAGTGAAACCTCTCGTCCCTGCTCTGCTGCCTTGTGCCCTTCCTCTCCCTGGAGGGGTTTGCTCCCCAGGACAGGGCTTGGCCACAGCAGCAACACACACAAATCATGCAAGACAGAGCAGATACTGTACCAAAGGGCAGGGCGGGCTCACCCCATCCAGGCCTGGCAAACCTGGGTCCCTTTTGCTGCCTGCAGTGCTATGATCTCCCTGTTTGGAAAAATAACTGCTTGTTGAGAATGATAAAGGACAGAGGAGTTACACAGACAGACCCCCGTGTTTCAGCACAGGGGGAGAAGGATGGCTCTAGAGCTTCACAGCTCCATTTCTGATGACACAGCGAGCCAGCAGAGTGGTTTTATGGTAGGGAATTCACGTGACAAGTAGAGTCTGTCATCTGGGAAAGATCCTCTGTACACAAACCAGAGATTCACATTTGTAAAAGTGCAGTTAAAGAGACAAAGGGTAAATCACCCAACATGTCAAGAGAGGAAAAAATTAATTGCAGTTCATATTCAATCTCCAGGCAAAATAAAGCATATTGACTAAAGGAGCTTATTGCTGATGTAGTGGAGCTACACAACAGCCCTGTCTGCCATGGCTGTGCTCAGAGAGCGAGGAAAAGTCACACGTTCAGAGAAGAAATGGGTTTTTGAATGGCACAGCTGGCACTCTTAATAAGGTGCCTCTGGACTAAGTTCTAAACAGCTACATTTAAGCAGTTTTAGTTCCATATTTGATACTTCTCGTCCTGCAGCTTCAAAGCACTTCAGGGAAAGGATCTCTCCAGTTTTAGTCATTATATGAGAAACAGTAGTGAGAAGGAGGTAAATTTTACCAGGTCAAATAACTTCTTATAAACCACTCTAGATTTTTTTTGTGGGCTCTATCTAATGAATGAGAGGTTCTGGAAATGGATTTGGGAGATCCAACTTCCCCAGGCTCAAACACCCAGGAGGTTTCCTGGAAAGCCCACTGGGCTGTGAGCTGCACAGCGGTGGCCTGGGGTGTGGCTGGGAAGGGACAGCTCTGAGCCAAGGGCAGAGAAACCAAGGGAGGTCTCTTCTCCCAGAGGCACTTCTTGGCAGCTCATACATCACTTATGCTTGGCAGAACTGTGATGCTATCAACCCCAACAAGCTTCCCTGGCTCACCCCTCACTCGGTTTGCAGGGATGAAGGGAAGGCTGGAGCTGGCCTTGTTTTCAGATCACCTCCCATCCCCTGCACCCAGTTACTCCCTGATTTCACACATGCTCAGAAGCCAGGCCAGCAGCTTCACACTATCTCCTGAAGAGCTCTACTGAGGTCCATTGTTTCTTCTACAATAAGAAGGTCTTTACACAAAGAAGCTTTATTTTTACTGCTGTGGCTTGTTCCCATCTGGCCAGTGAGGAGCCCTTACAGCGAGCAGTGAACTTCCAGCAGTGCAGATAAACCATTAAGAAAAGTGAGAAAACAATAATCATCTGCTCTGATTTACTGCAAAAGAGAGAACTCTCAAATCCTCCCTGCTTTTCCCTGGCTGCAAAGCTGTGTCTCCTTTTCAGCCCCTCAGCCCATGCTTAGGATGAGTGAAATGAAAGACATACCACGGGACAAGGCTGATCCAGTCCAGGGGGGCCTGGTTCCCCCTTCTGTCCTTTGGCCCCTTTTCTCCCTGGTATTCCTCGTTCACCCTGTCAGCACAACAGAAATATATCAGGGGCAAGGGGAAGGAACACCTTTGCTTCATGTCTCACAGCACTTGCAGAGTCCCAGTCCTCACCCAGAGTAAGCACACTTGCAGCAGTATCCTTGCACTAGTGTGACCTCAGCTGAGTAGTGGAATCACTGTGAAAATCTTCAGTAAAGCTGGGTGGAAACATCGCAATAGATAATTTTATAGCAGATTGACTAAATGAGCAGTTTCTGCTGGAACCCAGGTTGGTATCTGACATCAAGTGGGATGGGAGCAGCAGCTTCCAGCTACTCAGCTGGGCTCCTGGCTCCACCTGGGTACCTCTTTGTTTAAAGGTCCCTGTAGCAAAACCTTTGACTTGGATCCATTTTCAAGGTCTATAAACCAAGAGCAGTGATTCTGTGCAACCTGGAGCTGTCAGGCTGCTCCATTTCCCCACAATGGTCAGGCGGGGCTGGGGTGGGGGCAGGCTTGCAAAAACCCTTCCAAGTGGGTAGGAATTAACTGCCTGTCCTGCCCTGTGCTGGGAATCTGCAAATCCTTGGGCTCCTTTCAGCAGTGGCTCCCAGGGCAAGCAGTGCTGCCTGCCAAAAAGAGCAGCCTGTCCTGCCCCACAAACATCAGTACAGCCATAACCCACTCACCTTCTCGCCTCTTTCACTTCTCTCTCCTTTCTCTCCTCTGAGACCAGGGAAACCCTGTCACCACAGTTTTTAGGTGGGAAAAAGGAAAAAAAAAAAAAAGATTTTTTAAGTTTAGTGTGTGAATGGCTCAGTTCAACATGAGCCAACTCCATCAGCCTGTCCTGATACAGTGAAGAATGACATTTGCTTCCTGTTGACTTGGTATGTCAGCAATTTCTTGGGAAAATGGAGTGCTGCACCACACCCCAATACCATTACAGATATTAGAAATTTCCATGTCACTGAATCGAATACAAATATTCTCAGTTGGAAAGGGAAGCCCTGGCAGCACCTTTGAGTGAGCAGCTCCACTGTGCAGCCCAGCAATGGGCCTGAATTCAGCCCTTTCCTACAGCCATCACTCCATGGCCACTGTGTTTAAGGGGGAGCAGTGTACACAGTGTTAGCTACAGGTTTTCCCAGCAATCTCAAGTTATGTGTGTGTTATTTGTATTTCTACCACGAATAATTAATGGTTTCCATACTCACATCCAATCCTGGCTCCCCTGGCTTTCCCTGCAGAGGTAAAAATAAAAATTAAGATGTGCTGTGTTGAGCTTGGTGTTGCAGACAAACTTAGATCCAGTTGGTTTAACGTGGTAGTGAGGGCATGGGCTCATCCAGGAGCCTCTGGCACAGGAGGCTGCTCCTTTGCCACCCACCAGGGTAGTGCTGGTCCAGCTCTGCAGTTCTGGCTGGACTCCCCCCAGCAGGATTTTACAGCTCCTACTTTAGGATTACACCCCAATGTCCCTGCTCCTCTCCCACACCCGTGATTACCTTTTCTCCTTTGGTACCAGGTAAACCAATGAGCCCTGGAGCACCTGGGAGACCCTTAAATTAAAAAGAAACAAAGCATTGGGATTGTTTCCTGTGAGACAGGTTTCTGTCAACAGCCAGAAATGAGATTTGGAAAAACAACTCACAGCAGGTCCGGTGTCACCTTGGTCCCCCTTCTCACCACTGTCACCTTTCTCTCCCTTTGCACCATCCAAACCCTGCAGAAATGAAATGGATCAGCCAAGGAGCCCTGGCAGCTCTGCCCAGGGCAGCCCTTCATGCACCCACCCCCTCCTACCCTTCTCTGGGGTGCTCACACCCACACTGCTGGTGATGTTTTGCTCTTGACCATGTACGAAAATAGCTGAAAATACAGGTTTTAAACCTTTTGGTTTGGAAACTCTGGCTCTCACCAGCCCTCAGGACTCTCTGCTGGAGGAGAAGTTTGGATTGTAAATGCTTGGAAGGAGAAATGGCTTGTTTTCCAAAATGCCAACTGCTGAACAGCGTAACCAAGGGATGTGTTGTGACAACAGTGACAAAAAACTCAGTCTCCAGAGCTGACAGGCCTTTGTGAGCCTGTAAATAATGCACTAGCAGCTGGGAAACTGGGTGACATTTAATTTATTGACTTACTTTAGGCCCCTGGATTCCTGGAGGACCCTGTGGGAAAGAGAGTGGTGCATTTGAAAAAAAACCCAGAATTTAAAAACATACTGTAAACTTTCCTTCCCAAACCATTTTTTGCTCAAGTTACAGGCTGACAATGGTAAAATACTTATTTTCAAGGCAGGTGGCAGTTTATTTTGTTCTCCAATATCAAATCAGGGGGCAGGGGAACTGAAAAGGAGCATTGTGTGTAACAAGGGACAATAAAGCTCTGCAACACAAGCTTTGGGGACTGAGAGCCCCCAGAAGCTTTGCTGAAGAAAGTGACAGGAAGCTCTGGGGGTGGCATTGTGCCAACACAGCCCTCCACACCTGGGCAGGGCTGGGACACCTCCCAGGCTGTGAATGCCACCTGAAATGCCACCAGCTTTTGAAGCATGGTCTCTCAAGGTGAATCTTGGACCCAGCAGAGGCATCCCAGCCTTCCCAATGTTCTTGACAGCTCCTTTTGGAGCATTGTAGGCACCAAACCCCTTTGATGTCTCCATCAGAAATGCTCTGTGTGTTCATCACCATCTGCATCCTCTCCCAGGGCAGCTGATGGCAGAAAACTTCATGACTTGGGTGAATTTAGGGGAATATAGACACTGTCATGGTGGGGAACAGATTTTCCATCCCACAAGATTTTATCTTTTCTCCCAGGGAACAACGTGGATTTTTGAAAAATGAGTCATAAACTCTGATGTACTCTCCTAAATGGGGTGCTTTAATTTCTCCAAAGACAGATCAGACTGTAGCACTTCCCTGATTTTTTCCCCAGATTCAAGACAGCCCACAATGATTAAACAGAGAAACCACCCTTGTCCTTGATCCCATACAATAACAAATCTGCAGGAATCACTTCCAGAGTCCTACCATAGGGCCAGGTAATCCAGGGGGTCCAGGCTCAGGTATGATCTGCAGAAGGGAATTAAACAGCACCTTAACAAGGCTGTTGGAAGTGGAAACCTCACAAAGCCCAGATTCATGATTTAATGACCAATTAATTACAACAGCAGCATCCAATATCTCAACCAGCAATACAAAATCTAAAGTACCTTCGTAGTGCTAAGTGTGTGAACTGCTCTTCCCTAAGGAATAAACCTCATTTAGACACCTGTAGAACACAGTTGGGTTTTGCTGATGGATATGGGACTGGTGGGTGCATCCTGCACCCTCAGCTTTGCCTGATCCCGTGTCATGAAAGAGACTTTATGTTGCCAAGATCTTACATGATTATTCTGCAGACATGGTGACCCAGTGTCTCCTTTTTCTCCTTTGTCTCCTTTTGGCCCTTCTGCACCCTGAAAGATAAAAATGTAACACTGACGTGGTGCATCTTCCAGGAAAGCAAATGTGAGACAAAAATAGGTTTGTCTCCCTCTAAACACCAGCCTTGGCTCAAGCCATGCTCCTGTTCTTCTCCAGGGGACTTTGAAGAAATATTTTCTCCTCCTTGATACATTCTAAATAAGCTGATAAGAAATGGAAATTCAAAGCTCCCACATCCACCAGCTCCACAGTAATGTGGTGTGGAGAGGTCATTGCTTAAATCAGAAAACCCAGCCCCATTCTGAGCATTTGCAGAAATGAGTGCATTAAAGAATCAAGAGCAGAGGGACAGGGACAGCCAAAGGGACGTACCGGGGGACCTGCTGAGCCCATTTCTCCTGTTTCTCCTTTCTGCCCCATAGTCCCCATGCTGCCCTGGTCACCCTTTGCTCCTTTGGGACCCTGCAAGTTGAGAGAATACAACATGTTTAGGAGAAAACTCTTAAAATAACCCCCCACAGCAACCACTTCTGCCTTTCTGCTGTTTCCCTCAGCATTGCGAGCTCATGAGAACATGTTTTAACATTCAACCTCACAGATGCCAATTTTGAGGGCGCAGCAGAATTTGGCTGGGCTGCAGGAGGGGCTGCAGCCATTTGGGGCTGGGAAGGTTTACAAAAAGATTTGAGACAGCATCTGATGAACTGCTTGTGAAAGGAGCCCCGTTAGCTCGGCAGACACGGCCACGAGCAGCATGGGCACGCTCAGAGCAGAGCAGGGCTGCAGGCAGAGGGCCATCAATTGAGGGAGTCACAGCTGCCCCTGCACAGCAGAGCTCACTCCTGGCACGCTGGATTTGCTTTTCAGACACACAAGAAGCTTCCTTTTCATTTGGCTCCTGGCAAGGCCTCGCTCGATCCAGCCGTGCCTCACTCACCTTTTCACCATCCATTCCAGGTGGACCTGGCAAACCCAGCTCTCCCTGGAGGGAGACAAAGAAAGGGGAGCCCATGGTAAATTAAATTAAGGATTCATCCTGGGAAAGCATTGGGCAAGGAAATGAATTATTCACACACAACTGTTGTGGTTATGGGCTTGCCACTGCGAGGCTTACGACCAAGGAGGTGTCAGTGACCCACCAGCATCACCAGCTCATCTGAATATTGGCATAGAGACCTCAAAATGCACCAAAATCCTGTCCCATTCTATTCTTTCAAGAGATACTTTTCTACAAATGGCATTCTTCTTTCCAAGAAACAGCTGGTTGCAGGTCACAGAGTATTGTTTGTGAAGCAGGAGGACAGCAGGGCCTGGGACACAGTGCTGGGACAGTGAACAGCACACAGGGATGAGGGTGGCTCAGCACAGCCACAGGACTGCCAGCCCCTCTCTCTTCTGCCTCCAGCCACAGACAAATGGGGCAGTCTCAGAGGAGCTGGGATTTTCTGTCAGGTGTGGAACTGGGACTGGACTTGTATCTGGGACAGCATCCTCTGGAAGAAGGCCAAAGACAAGTCAACAAAATTTTGTTTTTTGTGTGAAAGACACTGTTTTTTCAGCCAGAGAAAGGGCTAGAAAGCACACACAGCCTCAAACTCCTCTGCAGGCACCTTCAAGTGCCTTATTTTGGCTTGGGAGACTCTTCATGGAGAGCTACTAATGACCATGTTGCTTGGCAGAGGTCAGGCTCACCTTGGGACCTGGAGTGCCTTGGGGGCCCGGTGGTCCTGGGGGACCTGGTGGACCCTGAAACAGAGCAAACAAAACAGCCTTGATGATGACTGGCATGGACATGGCACGCTGTCCTCGTGCTGTGGGGATGAGCAGCTCCCAGCCACCATCTGCCAGAGACACTCGGGTGAGTGGGACTGCCTGAGCACCGAGCTGATGCCCGAGGTGCCTCTGCCACGGGGCTGTTCATGCAGAACAGAGCACAGTGAGAGCAAGTCAGGTGTACAGCTGCAAAGACAAGGGCTAAGAGGCAAAATGCCTTTAGCTGGAGGTGGGACCCCAGTCTGATGGTCTCTTTGCATCCTGCCTGCTCCAGGCAGCCAGCCTGGGCAGCAGTGTCATGCTGAACACAGTGTCAGCCAGCCAGCAATTAAAGAGGGGAAAAATGGAGTTTGTGTGAGCACTAACAACAGGAAAACCATGCACACTTAAAGAAGTTATTTTTCCTGGGCACTGCTGGGTGCAAAGACCACAAACCACCTTGAGATGAACAAATATTTTCCAACTTGCAAATTATTTCGAGCAGCAAAATTTGTGGTCTTGCTCAGATGAAAGACAAACCAGTATCATATCCTGGAGCACCTTTCCCCATGGCTGCACACTCAAATGCTGTTACACTTTGTCACACTGGAAGCCTTTCCAGAGCCTTGTACTTGAGACAGGTCAGTGCACAAACACTGCAAACAACGAGTAAGCAGGAAAACAGCCAAGTTAGTGAGGTTCAGTGATGTGCTCCTCAGCAGTCTCTGCATGCAGAACAAGGGACAGGGTCTGGGTCCAGCAGATGAAGCCTCCAGACATTTGATGGAGCCTCTCCAACCACTGCACTCCACTCCCGAAGCTGCGTGCCACGCAGACATCTGGCAAACGGAAATTACCAGCACTTTGTGTATCCCTGCAGCCTGTTATAAAACAATTAGGAGGGTTCTCAAATATGTCTGTAATTAAGTATTTATTCTATTCAGCTTATTTCATCCTAATGAAAAGGTCAGGGCACTGTTCAGTTAAGGCTCAGGTGCCGCTCCCCTTCCTCCCACATCCCAACTGCTGCCTTCGAGCTCTGCCACCGCTTTTGCTGCTGCACCCTCAATATCCTCAGCCCTCAGATGCAATCAGCTCCTTCTTCCCTCCCAGCCAGCTCTGTGCCAAGACAGAAATCTCAGGAGGAGATGCAGGACAAGGGTGGGCACATGGTCACAATGTCACGGCGGCAGAGCTCGGCCGATTTCAGTCCTTTCCCCTGGGCTTACCTTGAGCGCATCCAGGATCCGGCCGTCATAGTCGATGACGACGGTGTCCCCCTGCTCCCCTTTCAGCCCGGGGGGACCCTGCAGACAGGGATGAATCCTGTTTAATCCTACAGCATGGAGAGCTGGCGGCTATGAAAGCAAAGACCTGACACGCAGCGTTTGGGGGTTATCACCTTACAGACACACCGTGGATTTGACCATCCTTAGTCTGACAGCTGGAACTGTCAAACCTCAAAAGGCCATCAATTTGTGTAATGGAGAAGAGCATAAAAATCCTCATTTGATTACCCCTATTCCCAGCTTCCCTCGTGCAGAAAAAAGGGTCACAGAATGGTCATGAGTATAAGAAAATTGGACTTGACTGATTTCCCATGCCACCATTTAGTACCTGTGCAATCATTTGCTTAAATATGCACCATTTCTATTTTCTGACACTGAATAGATCCTGAAGCAATTCATCCACATACTATGCAGAAAGAGGTGGTGAGGAACAGTTAAGGTTGAGAAAAATACACAGCTCCCAAATGAAATCCTGAACATCCATACCCGGGGTCCAATGGAGCCAATTCCTCCCTTCTCACCAGGTTCACCCTGAAAATCCAAAATCACATTTTTTTCAATGAGACCAAGGAAAATATAAAATATTTATCCTAAAAATACTGTACCCACCCACTTAATGCTTTAGATTAAGAAAAATTATGACACCAACAGGGGACTGCTTTTCCTAGTAGAAAATAGATTTGACTTGAGAGCGAATATATTTATCAAAAAACAGTGTTGGTGTAACAACAAGAGGAGTAAGAGGAGTCTCGTTGCAGGGGGAGTGGAGTGGCCAGCTCGGGGCTGAGCTCCCTGTATGGGCTGTGCTGCCCTCCAGCTCCTCTCCCTGCTCCAAGTGTGCCGAGCTCCATCACTTTGTACTGGTTCCACATGGCTCCCTTTGCTTCAGGCTGAGTTTTGCATGTGGAAAGTTTCAGCTGAGATGTTTAAACCATTTTCAAGGGGAAGTTTAAGGAAAAGTTCAGTGCCAAACTGTTCCTTTTTTCTTCCTCTTTTTTATTTTTCCCTCCTCCACTTCTTTTTATATTTTTTTTAATTGGAGGGTTTTAAAAAGCCATAGTACTCTTACAGTAATGACCTGAAATTCTGTTCAGGATTCAAAAGATGTCTCATTTGTCACACCCATGTTGATCCCCTTGCTGACCAAATTAAAGCTCTCTAAAAAGTAAAAAATGTATAGGAAAAAACCCTACATTCAATCAGCACTGCTAGTGTGGTTCTAGAAGAAGTTTACTAAGGTTCACCAGAGCTCACTTTCTTCCTCACTGTCTTGCCCAATAAGGGATCACGACTCTTTGATATAGAAAGTATTAGTGCATCCAGATCCTGCTGAATACAAAGCAGCTGAGGGGGTAAATAACAGCCCACAGATGCTGTCCAGGTCCCCTCAGCACCACCCAACAAACCCAGGCTGTCTAATTGTACCTCTCAGCAGCTTTGGAGCTCAGGAGGATAGGACAGCTCACAATTGCTTGGAGCTCTGAAGCAATTCCACAACCATCAATAACATGGGATCAAAATGTGACCAGAATTCTACAGTTTTTGAGGAAAAAGGCAATTCTGTGTAAAATGTGCACGTAGATGACTTACAAGCTCTTATACTGATCTCTGCTTGAACCCAGCTTTCATCAAATCACCAGGAAAAGTTCAAACACTTAATCTCACTCATTTTGTGTCAGTTTTGGCACTTTATGGGGCTTTTAGAAGGCAAAGGCCCAAAACAGCTCCTGAGCTGGAAGCCTCTGCCTCAGCAGCGTTGTGCCCAGAGTTCCAGCTTTTCCTTACCTTTAGTCCTGGGAAGCCATCTGTGCCGTTATCTCCCTTGGGACCCACACTTCCTTTTTCTCCCTGAAAACAAAGCCATTTAGACAAAAGCCATTTAGACAAATGCTGCACAGGGAGGATGGAGAAAAGATTTCTTCAGGTTATCATTTTCTTGATTTATCTTCATTTTGCATACACGAGGGAGCAGAGCTCTGCTTTCAGCTGTGAAACCCCATCACCTTGCCCTGGTGCAAATGGGGAGTTTTTGAGATAAAAGTGAAACTTTCAGAATCAGCAGTTTGGCTGCAGGTGGTGTGTTCAGCCATGAAGCTGCATAGCCCAAAACCACAGCATAGAATAATAAATTCACAATGTTTTGTGTTGGAAGGAGTCTTGAAGATCATCCAGCAGCAGCCCCCTGCCATGGCAGGGACACCTTCCACCATCCCAGGTTGCTCCAAGCCCTGTCCAGCCTGACCTTGGACACTTCCAGGATGGGGCAGCCACTGCTGCTCTGGGCAACCTGTGCCAGGGCCTCACCACCCTCACAGTTTTTTGATCTTTTTCCATACCAGAGGAGAAATGTGTCTCATCCTGCCCCAGCTGTGCTATGGTGCCAAAAACCAGACAGCAGAAGATGCTGCCCCACACACGTGCTAGATGGACACAGAGCAGAACGTACCTTAGGGCCCACAAGTCCCGGTTCCCCAGGGATCCCATCATCACCCTGATGGACCAAAATACAAAAAGTGAAATACACAGACTTTGCACACACTTAGTTGGTTCCAACACATCATTTTACCTCTCTGATTGTTGCACAGACACAAAACCCACTCAGGTTTGCAACCAGGGGAGAGCTGCAGCAAGGAGCACAGGAGGCTCCAGCGTGGTCCCCTGCTCCCACCCAGCCCTGCCTCTGCCTCCCCTGCTCCTGGGAAGGTGGATGAGCATCTTCCAGAATTTGCTTACAGCAGGCCCTGCCAAAGGTCTTCTCCCACCTTTAGCAGAAATGAGACATTAAATTCCTTAAGGCCTTTGGGGTTCCAAAGACCTCCTGTAGCTGCCACCCATCCTCATGGACTTCATCACAAGTCACCAACACCCTCTTCCAGGAGGAGGTTTTCTGTGCTTTGTTGTTCTCCTGGAGTAAAACCATGGATGCTGGCGAGATTAGTTTTACCAGCCAGTTATGAAATGTTTAAGCCAAATTCTGGCCTGAAAAACACCCATGGCCACTCCTGTTTTGGGCCAAATCAGTAGGAGGGGAAGGCTGGGCCCTGTCAGTGCTTTGACTTCACTTAAAGGCAGTGATTTATCTACTTCTTGTGAATCTCTCACAATCTTCAGTGCCACACCCAAGCAGCATTCCCGGCCCCCAAGAGGACATTTCCCATGGGACTGCAGTGCTGCTAGGTGACAGACATCCCAGGAATTCCAAACCCATTCCCTGGGCAGAGACCATCCTCCAGGCACCTCTTGGTTCATTGAATTATTGGAGAGAAAGGGCTCGAGACTGCTTTGCTTGGCATTTGCTGTTTTATTCTTTGTCTATTGGGCAGATGTGGCTGCAGCTTCTGGCCTGCTTGTGGAAATGAAAGCCAGGCTGCAGGCACAGCCATGCCCAACCCCAGGATCCTGTGGGGGGGAAACTGAGGAAACACAGGGTTGGTGTGGACAGCCACAACCACAGCTTCTACACCAGTCTCTGGCAATGGTTTCCCTAGCCAAGCACAGAGCAAAGCAAAGGGAAAAAAATTAAATAAAAAAAAAAATTTAAATCACCATTTTTACCTTTTTCCCCTGGACACCAGGCTCACCCTTCAACAGCAACATCAACAGAATAGAAAGAAATTTAGGGACATGACAGAAAATAAGGCAAATTATGTGGATAACAAAAATTAATTGTAAAATTAAAATATTTGGCTTGTGCTAATCATATTAATCCCCCCCAAATGCAAGAAAGCACACTCCCACAGCACAGCAAATTGCAGCCCCCTGCAGAACCCTCCAGCCCCATTTCCAGATTTGAGCATGGGCAGTGGATGTGATATTGAGGCAGTGACACATTCAGACATTTACACCCCAAGTCAATACCTTGGAATTTCATTGCATTGGAATCTCAATGGGTTTCAATGCTTATTTTCATCCTCACCCCTCTTATGCAGCATTATTTCAAGAATTCATGTTAAAATTAGACAGATTATTACCCACCTTTGGTCCTGGAGGTCCTCTGGCACCCTGTTGAATATAAGAGTGATCAGTTTACTTCTTTGACAACAGAGTAAAACAGGATAAAAACATTTTTAAGAATATTTTAATTCCAAGAAAAAAAAAAAAAATAAATAGATGTCAACTGCTCATCTTCCCTTACAAATAGAGCTGTATTTGTTCTCTGTGCTCCCAGTAAATAATATCCTTCTTATGGTTCATGTATTTGATGTATAATAAACACTTTTTTATCCAATATAAACCTTAGCAATTTGGAGTTAAAATGCCAGGTGGCTTCAGAGGGACAGGAGTCAGGGTACAGGAACACCACATCCCTCCAGAAGAGCCAAAGGGACACAAAACTGGCCTCTTTTCTCCCCAGGGCACAGGTAGCCCTGGACAAACATCCATTTTAGGGCACCTCCAATTCCATGAGGGGTTTTTATCCTCCATAAGCAGTGACACAAACCCCCTTGCTGCAGTGGGGATGAGGGGCACACACAGATGCTTCTGGACAATACTGACCATGACTCCATCCTCTCCTGGCTCGCCTTTGAAACCCTGCAAAAAACAAAAACACCAACATTGAAGCTATTACCTCTCATTCTCCAAAATGCTCAGCAATAATTAGAATGTTCCACTGTCTTATTCTTTAGCCTATTTTTTTACTAAATAAATTGCCAGTGGTCTTCAGATTTGCAACAGGACATCCAAAGGGTATGAAATGGGGAGATCTCCTGGCTCTGTGAGTTACAACCAGCACCTGCAAATACACACACCAGGTCCAGCTCTTTGCTCCAAAACGTGAGCTGGAAGGTCCCCTCCTGCTCCTTCCCCCACACCCCAAGGCTTTGCTCCCTGAGCAGCCTCTGGAGCCCAGCTGTGGCTCAGGCTGGGGACTCGGTGGTGGTGGCAGCACTGGGGAAGGGGACACCCTTCACCCTGCTGTCCCTCGTGGGTGGGAGCTGCCTGGTCCGTGCTCGCTGCGCATCTCCCGTCCTTACAGGGGAGCCTGGAGGTCCTCTGGGGCCATCCTTTCCCGTGTCACCAGGAGGCCCCCGGGCACCTGGGGGTCCTGGCGGACCAGGGGGGCCCATGGCTCCATCTCGACCTTGATCACCCTGGAAGAAGTTCACACAGACATGGTGAGACGAAGCAGTGTTGGCAAGGGGTGGTCTCAGGGTGTCCACAACACATGCACTGCATCCCTGGGCCACAGCACCCTGGTCTTTGCGGTCCCAGGGAAATTTAACTGCACCTTCCAACTGTTTGACTTCCAGCTTTCCCAACTGAAGCTGGGAAAGATGAAAGTGAGCCAATTTATGCCATTTGGGTTTGGTTCCTCAACCAGGATTGTGCTTGACAATGAGATTTAATCTGTTTAAGCTTTATCCAGTGATTGCCTGCATAGAATCACCAACCCAACAGCACCCAGAGCAGCCCAGGCTCACAACATGCTGGCAGGGAGCATGCACACACTGCCATGGCTCAGTGCACCACACCAGAAAACCACACAAAAAAGTGGCAGTGCTTAAATTCATCCTCTACAGACAGCCACGGTCACACATGAACCTCATGACCCGCTCGCACCCTGCAGATTTTGGGTGCAGAGAACTGGCTCTGTCCCTGCGGGTCCGGTGGGTGCCATTCCCAAGGGGACCATCCTGTGGGGCTGGGAATCAGCTCCTGGCCCCCCACCAGCCAGCCCAGCCCAGCCCAGCCCCGGGGCCCAGCCCAGCCCATCCATGTGGTTGCACAATGGGAAGGGCGGCTCGTAAATCTTTTAACAACATCTGGGAGAGTCACCACCAGGCAGTCAGAGGGCTGGCTTTAATATGTGGTCCACCCTCAAATCAGGGACAAGTGTGGGATTTTTCACAAGTCCTTAAGTGACTTAGCAGCACAAGTCCCATGGCCTTTCAACAAGATCTGGGCTCCTAAATCACTTGCATCCTTTTTTAAAAACCCAATTGCAAATGCTGAACACTGCAACCAATTATGTCAAGTTGAGTCTCACACTGAATTTTTCCTAATTACAACATCCCATTTAGAGTTCAAGGATTTAGATTATTCTAGTTTTGATGCATTTTCTTTTACAATACCAACACTGTTTATATCAAATTTGCAGGACTTTGCTGCTTGATTCCCAAATCTCAAAAAGAACCAAATGCTAAAACCCATTAGTTTTATGCCCCTTTACTTTGACAATGCCTACCCCCCTAAATTCCAGTGGGATTTCAGTGAATATTCCCAATAAGCATCTCTAAACACAGCCATGGTTGTTGCAATTTAAAATAGCAACAGTCAGCCAGAAAGAGAAAGCAAAAGCAGCTCAGTCACAGCAAACCAGGGGCAGCAGCTTTGGTGTCTACCTTGAGCACTCGCCGGCTAAAGACAAGCTGATCATTAGCCAGAAATCCATGATTGAGGTGGGGAAAAACCATCTACATCCAGGCAGAAGAAGAAAGAGCAGCAGTTGAAGAGGAAAGCACAGCAGAAGAGTGAGTTTTAAAGGCTGTAGCAATATATAACTTTTTTTTTCTTTTCTTTTTTTAATATCTAGTTGATACATTAGAAAGTAATGGTCTAGGTAGCCAACACTGGGGTTTAAGGTTCTGGGTACACTGGATCTTTGTAACAGGACACAGACTGAGGGAAACAATTATTTTTTCACTAGTTTACTGCACAATAGGACATTCAAAGCATCTGGGGCAAGGGTTCCCCTACTGCAGAATAAAGAGTATTATTCCAGTAAACCCCATAGGGGATGATATATCCCAGCATTTCCCTGAGACCAAATGCTGTATTTGTTTTCAGAGGCTCAAATGAATACTGATGTATTCCCAGCCTGCAAATTACAGATAAATCTCCCAGATTTATATGATGCAAAAACAATGTATTTAGACTGTATCAGTAGTCATTGCTATTGTGTTTTAGCCTTTCTACTCCTCTGTCTAGGGAGAAGCAGGAAGACATTTCCTTTCTCAGGACACCACGTGCATCTCCCTTTCCCCCATCCACCATCCATAGGAGAATCAAGAATGTGGAGTGAAGCCACAAGAAGCATAGCAAAGCCTCCAGGAGGGGTTTTGGAGGTTTCTGGGGAACAAACCTATTTTCCAAATTGCCAAAGAGCTTTTAAACCTTGCACACCAATAACAGATAACCCCAAACCTCAGTTCTGGGGGGAATAGTGCACTGGCAAGGCCACCTCCTGCCCAGCCTCCCAGTACAGATATTTTAACACCATCATGTCAAGAAGAGAGGGGAAAAGTAAAGTCAGAAAAAACAAATCAACCTGAGAAAATAAGCCCCTGTTTCAAGAATTTTTTTCAAGATGTAGAGAGGGGCTTTAGGCTCAACACTCAGTTAAACACAGCTACTTTTGGGAGGAACAGCACTGAAATACTGAGAAATCAAAATTAATGAGGACACAGAACCCTTGCACATAACCAGGTCCTCCAAATACTACAGAAACCACCAAAAAGACTCTACTGAGAGCAAAGGGTTTTATGGTAGACAGAAGGGACACAGTTCTGTGGCACATTATGTGCATAAAGTACAAAAGAACATAAAGTGGGATTTTCATAAAACCCCATAAAGCAAAACAGGAACTGAATTTTTTTTCTTGTCCCTCAGACTGGTGAGCATCATCCAAATAAGCACATTCCAAGCCCAGCCCTATCTGTTTTAATGGAAAAAGCAATTTGCATTTGCTCCGTGGCCAAACACACCATATCCACTAAATCCAGCCATCACACGTTTAATTTTAAACAGCTTTTACAGATTTTACAGATGGGCCCATGAGAGGTGAACAGCCCTGAGGGATATGAAATAGAGAGATACCATCCCTGGTTCAGGAAACATCCAGGCTGTAGAGAGCCAGGCTCCAGAAGGGTCAAGTGTGATGGAGTAACATATTCCTGCTCCACAATTCCCAGAGCATCAGGTTGCAAGGCACTGAGATAACAGGCCATTGGGTCTGATCCCATCTAGCAATGGAATATTGGAGCACAGAAACCTTGAACACTGGTCATTTCCAGCTTTAGACTCCTCAACGTAGCCATTTCAACGTAACACTCCAAAGTCAGCAAATAATAAAATAAAAGTATCCATAGGTGTCTGTGAACTGTCACAGGGAGCTCTGCAGGACGCTTCCTGTGCTGAGTTTTTATCTGCAGTGTGAGCTTGGCCAGCAGTCATAACCTTGCAGAAAATAAGGGAGCAAAAGCTCCTTTTGTCTGCACGGAGCTGCAGGGCTGGTTCAGCCAGGCCAGTGTTTGCCCCCCAGCAGCTCCAGATGCAGGAGAGGCTGGAGCCATCTCCATCAGCTCTGGCCATGGGCAGCCCTGTGCCACGGGGGCCACTGCAGACAGAGCAGTTCTCCCACCAGCCGAAGCTGATTTTCCCCCTCTGGAGAGCAAGGCTGGTGCTGCTGCAACAGGCACTGGCCCAGATGTGCAGGGATTCCTCAGCCCCACCATTTGTCTAAACATCTCATCTGTCAGTACAAGCAAGATCACCCAGCAAAGTTCATCAGTCCAGAGCAGCTGGCCCAGTGCCAGCTCAGGAGCAAGTCAGGATTACAAAACCAGTCTTTTCCAGGGGTGCAGCAATGTATCTGATTGTGAGAGAGAAGCACAGGCACAAATATCAGGGCACAGCTGTCCCAACCTTGGCAGCATCCTGCTTCAACTCGATCCTCCCAAGAGCAGAGGGGACCTGTTATTGATTTCTCCCTGTAAATACACTTCCATGCATTCTGTCAGTACATTTGGGCACATTTACTCCCCATCCTGAGCAGGTGAGGCTGCACAGCATCCTTCCTCATGCTGCTAACAACAAGAAGCATTCAGTGATGAGGACAACCCAAGGTCATTTCCTTCCTCAGCTTTCCAAAACCACCCTCCAGCATCTGCCACCAGGCACACTCCAACATGTAATAATCTCTGGTTTTGTCCACGCTGCTGGCAGGTGTTTATTACAGAAAGAGAAGCAGTGCAGACATGAGCAGATTCAGTAGCTAGTCTCTAATTGCCATTACCTCACTCCCACCACAGACAGTCCCTCTAAAGCCACCCCAAGGATTATTCTCTTATAATCCATCATTGCTAATGAGAGTGTTTCAGTGCTCACTGACACACTCTGTCCTCATTCCATCGCCCTTGGACATGACCATTTGCAAGGAAGAGGGCACTGGATACAGTCCTAGTTATTTATCTTCCCATTGATGCAGTCAGCTTTATTGACACATCTTTCAAAATCAGCTAAACAAAGCCACCACTGAAACTTGAGGAATAAGATAGATTAAATTAAGAAATAAAAAGTAATCTAGACCAGATGATATTAAGAAGTTTTGCCTCCTATTCACAACCCTGAGTGTCTGGAGACATAAAGGGAGCTATTTTCAAAGTCAGGCACCTGTTTTTAAGTCTACTTGTGTATGGTTCTGCCAGGCTTTTCTCTCTCTTTTATCCCAAATTTTTTTGAGCCTTTTTCTCACTGTTCTACAAAAGGTCATAAATAAATAAAAAACTGAAGCAAAATCTTGACAAATGCAGATCAGGACAAAATATGCCCCCAAAACCCAGCACATTTTTCTTGATAGATGAAAAGGAAGGACAAGTGTTACCTTGAGAACTGGTACCTTCCCTGCAGGTCCAGACAGAGCCTGTCCCAGAGCATCCCCTGCAGCAGGAGGTGATTCCACAGCACCTGGCAGCACGGAGCCTTTGGAGCCTGAGCAGCCCCTCCTCAGCATTCCCGATCTGCCATCCCCAAAAGTCACCCACAGCCCTGGCCAAGAAGTGCAAGCTCATGTCCCTGTGCTGCTGAATCTCCTCTTAAAGCCTGTTCTGAGGACGTGGGTGGGCCCTCAGGCAAAGCGAGGTCTTACACCGAGCCCCTCCTTCACCACCCAGGCCAGGAATCTATCTGAGAAATTTTAGGGGCTCTCTGAGCCCCGGGGTGACATTTCCAAACACACCCAAGGCAGCTGGGAGCTGCTTCAGAATATGACACCAACTTCACAGAGTGATTTTACAACCTCCAGGGGAAAAGAGAAAAATGTCTTTGAAGCATCTCTACTCAACATTAACCACTGAGGTCCAGGTTATGTTTCCAGCAATGACATCTAACCCAGGTCAGCCAACTCTTGAGTGCCAGCTCCAAATCCAGCCTCCTACAGTGACAGGTACTCCAGGATCCCAACACATCCCCACCATGGGGTTTCCAGCAGGTGCCCATAATCCACAGACAGCCACACCTCAGAAATAACCTCTGCAAGAGAGCCCACACCTCCCATCTCATCCCCTACATGGGCCATATCCCCCTTGTGTCTTGTGGAGACCTATCCTGATTTACCTCAGTAAATCTGAACTTCATGTAGCTCCATGAGAGGAAATGTCATGAAATTCCATTAATTTCTGTATGCTACAGCCAAATGAGTTTCCCCCTCATCATACAGTTACTTTAAATCCTTTCTTTTCAAAGGCAGCCTGGGTATCATCTGGATGTCCTCCTGCTCCCAGATGGGGAGCTCAGCAAGGGAGGAGGAATGTAGGAATGTTCCATCCTGAACAACTCTGTGCTGGACCTCTCCTCGGGACACCAGACCCTACCCCACATACTGGTGCTCTAATGCCAACAAATAAAGAGCACAGCCCCAAGAGAAACTTCAAGAGAAACACGGAGTTTGTCCCTGACACTGGAAGAAGAAATCAGGGGTGAGAAGGTTCAGTAGAAGCAAAACCCTCCATGAGGTACCCAAAGATCTTCAACTCCTTTTTCCTTGTGGCCAAAGTTAGGAAAACCACCACCACAAAGAGCTCCAGAGGCAAAATTGAACATTTCCACAATTATTACCATACTGTTTGCAGCAAGGCTTTGTTTTGTGCAGTGACTAAATCCAACCAGATTTTAGAATAAATCAGTGTACTGTGTCACTACTTACCCTTGGGCCAATGTCTCCTGCTTCCCCCTGCAAACCAGGAAAACAGCAAAGGGTCAGAGTTCAAATCTCAGCCCTGAAGGACTGAGCACAGGGTCAGCTGGACATGGGTACAGCACACAAGGGAAGAAGCAAGAGTTCTATTGTTTAATGTATTTAAAATGAGGGAGGAGAAGGTTTTGAGACAACACAATAGGGAAAGATTATGCCCTGGCAGGCAATGAAGCAGATAATAAATCAGAAATAGCAGTTTGTTTCCAACTCTAAGGCTCTCCTAGCAACTGCTTATGTCCTTCACATGTGAAAACTAACTTCACTTTCAGTAATGACCTCCTTTGGCTCCTCTGATTGCACGGGTGTCATGCAAACAGAGCGATGGAGCCCAGATCTCTTGGAGGAATGGAGAGTTTTATATTCTCATCACCCTTAGTGGCTTACCAGAACCCTATAGCACAGATGAGTTTTAAGACCACACTTGTCCGCCCACCTTTTTTGCAAATTTTTCCTGCCCTCCTCTTCCTGGAGCTTTTCCAAGAGCAATGTGAGAACCCACTCTAACAGCTGGGTTATTGGGGCAACCTGAACTTGAAAGAATTACAGCAACAGGAGGATATACAGGAACTGCTTCCCCAAATCCACATGTTAATGCAGCCTTTACCTTTTCCCCTTTTGGTCCTGGAGGTCCCTGGAAACACATAAGAAGAATCCAAATTAAGGAACAGCAGAATAACCAATGCATATGACATTAAAACCAAGGAAATCACATTCATCAATTCACAAACCTGAGTCACATTCTCTATTATTTTAAAGAATATATGCTACTATTTTAAGTTGTGCAGTTCTTGAATGAACATCACTTTACCAAAAAGCACCCAGGAGGTCCTGCCTGCTCCTGCCAGGAGAGAGTATGGAGAAGGACCAGAGCAAGGCAGGCAGTGTGACAGCAGCTTGCCACCACGTGACTCTAAGTAGATGCAAAAGATATCTTGAGGTATTAAATCACTTCGAGAAAAAGCACACGCTCACTGTATCATTACAACAATTATACATCTGTTTGAAATAAACAAGGACGGGCTGCTTTCTTTGGCCTGTTGGCTGAAGGCATCGTTCATGTCCCCTCTGTCTGTGGGACAGGCAGAGCACTGCAGCCCCAGAGAGAGCCCGAGAGCAGCACTTTGATGTGTCTGCTCTGCATTTGCCTTCCAGCACAGCAAAGTACCAAAGCCTGGTGCCAATGCACCGTGTGTGCTGGAGTGGGACCCGTGGGGGAAGGTCAGCAGAGAGGCCAGCAGCAGCAGCAGCAGCTGCATCCCCATGCAGCCTGCCTCCCACTGCTTTTCTCTGAGCAAGGCTGCTGGCCCCTTACTCTCATGGCAGACATCATGAGCAGTCTGTTTGGAGTCTGGCTGTGTGATGAGTTTGCTCTGTCACTGAGATTTTCCCTGCCTGTCACTCGGGGTCTCACTCCTGCCCTGCAGTGGCACCCCAGCCTGGGGGTGCAGGGCTGTGCTCTGGGGTCTGACTGCACTCCCAGCATGAGGTTTTGCTAATGAAACCAAGCCCTTCCTTCTTTTCTTGTCTAATGCTTTATTTCTAGATTTTATTCACATCTGCTATCCTCAGGGTTGAGATAAAAAACAACCACAGCAATGTATGGCTATAACAGCACACTCCCTAACTGGATGGAAATAAGTGTCTGGAGTAGCTTTTCAATTGCAAAGAATGAATGACTTTTACCCACTTTGAAATCCCACTTGGTTGAGGACCAGAATTTAAAAAGATTTCATATGGGCCCTCTAGTGAAGGTGGTGGAAGAAAATGGGGTTTGGAGACAAAATATGGAGCTGTGACCTTCTGTAGGAACCATTTGGTGGAAGGAATCAGAGCTGGCTAGGGTTCAATTAGCATAAAAATAAAAAAAGCCTGCATTTCTGTAAAACAAGTAAGAAAAGAATGAAGCACCTGAATATCCAAAGGGCTTCCAAGCTAAAATGAAGTCAAGAAAACAGCTCATAAATTAATCCAGTCTGTTCCAAAAAGTATTTCATGGACACTGGGCACCCTCAAGCAGTTCCCAGCTCAGGTCCTTCGGAGGAAAATGGAACCTGCTTTGGGATCAATTATTTTTATGGTATCACTCTGTAGTGCCAGAAGCACACAACCAAGATCACTGACTTTGCTCTTCCAATGTGCTACTGGAGCTTGTTCCCCAAATTTGGCCTGATGCCATCTGCAGTCTGTGCTCGCCCAGCAGGCGCAGGAGGGGAAGACGCAGCTGAGATGAGCTGACAGGTAAAGAAAAGTTCACCTCCAGCTCTGCTGGCCAGCCCTGGCTCAGAATTTAAACTTGCATGGAATAATTTTCCCAAGTACAATTGTTCCTCCTAAACAGTTATATATGTAGCACTAAATGAGTAATAGTTGAGATATTGCCTATTTATTGTGGAGCAGCATGAACAGAGACATGCTATATCTGGCACTTAGTGCTACTTACTGGTTTGCCATCCAAGCCAAGAGGCCCCTGAAAAAGGAAGGAAAATAGAGTATTATTAAAAAAAAATTCAAACAGCATTATCAAGGCATGCTCTGAAAGAGACTCTACTTACTTAATTTTTGGCTATGATTCTATGATTTACCTACTCCTCCATCCATGCAATTCAGCAGGAAGGTTTCACAGAGGTACAGTAAGAGGCATCAATTTGCAGAGTATGAAGGAGGGTGAAAGGAAGCGACAGGATTAGTGACAGGGGTAAGGTGACACTGCTCTGGCACTTCACCTGGGACTCCCTGAGGTGTTGAAAGTCAAAAACAGCAGCAGTAAAACATGCCTGATTTGGTTAAACTGAGCAGATCCATGAGTGATTCGCATCAACCTTGGATCTGAACCATTTTTCCTAAAGCACTCAGTTATCCCAGTTCTTCCTCAGGTCTCCTGCTTCTAGGGTTGCTGCACCAACATGGAAAATGGTGAATTCCCCAGCATTTCTGGCACTTAAGCCCTTAATTACTACCAAACCACTGAATGTGTTGGGCCAAACATTGCTTTTGATAAGGGATGTGGGGAGGGAGGAAGCACAGCTGCTGTGAGGCCAAAGCTGCCCCTGTCATCAGCTGGAGCTGGCACTTTTGGAGACAGTGACACACACCAGTTACTGTAAATCCACTGCCCGTGGCAAATGCAAGGGTTCCACCTGCAAAGCTGCACCTTGGGACCAGCTCTGCTCCCTCTTACACCTGCCCTGCACAGCCACACGTGTGGAACATGCACATCCTCCTCCCAGCATGCTGGGATGAAACATCTCCCACTTACAGCCCTGTGAACCATGGGGATCTACCAAAGCTAAAGGGGTTTGGGCTGTGGTACAGTGCTAAAGCACCAAAGTTCTCTGTATTTCTTAGGGAACTGATTGAATTAGTATTTTTTAGTTTATCTTATACCTGTGATAGGGAAATTGAGCAAAAGAGGCAAAGGGGGGTAAGAGGAGGCCAGTGGTGCATTAAAAAGAGCATCCTTGCAGGTCACAGCCATTGATAAAGAATAAATAGCCATTGATAAGGAATAAATCAGTCTGCAATGGCTATGCTGATGGGGCCTGGAATATGAAACTCTGGGGAACAAAACTCTATTAGGAAAAAGAGGTAAATCCAGATGACCTGGGCAGATCATCAGCAGCTGGGTTACAAGGGCAGGGGGACCTGTGTAAAAGAAGCTCACTTGAAAATAAACAAGGATGTCTTTACACACATAAGATCTCTGAAGTGATCAAGCACAGGTTATATTCCTCATGTGATGTGTACTTTTTTCTTATAAGGAACCATCAGTACTCAACAGCCACAAAGTGCTCATGAAAAATATACATAAAGAAGTTGTGTCTGTTAATGCAAAGGCTTGCAGGTCACCACCAAACTACCCTGACACCTCCTCCATACTTCATCTCAACTCAATTCTTTCAATTCTAAAAGCTGGAAATGGCATTGGGTTCATAGAGCTTCTTTCCTGAAGCTATGATTTTTGAGGCAATTAATCTGAAGCTCCTGATGCAACTCCCTAACTTTCAGAGGATCAGACATGGGATCTGAGCACAGAACTGGCAGCACATTCAACTTCTCAGAGGAGTAGAAGTCCCACAATTATTATTTTTTTCAAATATAAAATGCCAGTTCTTCAGCTTTTAGCTATTCTTGTATCAGTCCACAAAGAGACGTCCAGAAGCAGAAACAATGGCCTATTCAGAAGATGTTTGAGGGAAAGCATTTAATGCTTGGGAGAAACAATATCCATCAGGGTTCCAAAGGGGCTCTTGGCCAGCCACAGCACTGAATGGACAAGACTAACACAGACTTTTAAATGTCTTGTTAGTCTGGGCCAGAGATTTAATGGACTCTGCTCTACCTGCCCAGCCAAATGTCTGTGAGCAAGGCAGGGTTCCCAAGAGCAGCCAGGAGATTTCATGGGTACAGCAGAGAGAACATCTGAAATCTGGGCTGCCCGACTTGGCTGCCTGCAAATCTCAGGAGTTCACATGTGTTGAGATTGTTATTGTCTTTTATTTGAGTTCTCCTCCATGTCATTTTAATTAAAGATTAAGCAATCTCTAATTTATTTGATAAACAAGGAATGGGGAAACAAGTAACCCTATATTCCCCCACTAAAAATCAATCTCTATAGAAGTTTTCACTTTGAGAGGACAAAAAAAAATTACTTCTGCTTAACGAACCAGGAAAAGTGTATGAAAAGGAGAGTTTTGTCCTTGGACATCCCAAGTGATAGAAAGCATTGCAGTGGCTTTAGGCTCTGCTTTCTGCCCAGGGAGCAATTTCACTTGTGCCTTCACTCACTCTTGATCTAAATCAAACACAGTGATCACAATTCAGATAATTCATTACTCACTTAATCAAGAGGGGATGAACTTTCTGCCTAGGACAAACCTAATGCTTCAAAACAAGATAGAGGGAAAATTCAACCAATTTCCCCCAAAACATAGTTCTGACTAAAACCATCACTGCACTGGCTAAGTGGGACAAAATGCTTCAAGGAAGAGCACACTGCTGGTGTCCCAGACGACCCTGGACACCCCTTCCAGCTGGTAACCAGCTCACATCTCATTTTCTGACCACACACCAGATGTGTTCAGTGCCTGGTCAAACCAGCTCTGTGGGATACCCTCCTCATTAGAAAAGAAAAATTGTTGCTGTCAGTTTTGCAAAGAAAATACATCTGCAGCATCTGTCTGGAGCCCTCAAGCTGCTGGAGCAGGAGGAACTGGATTAGTGGGGAGAGCTGGTGACACGGAGCAGAGGTGAGTGATAATTGCAATTTCACACCTTGGTTTCATCCTTCACAAAGAGTAACATAGGCACAGGTGTCCCTGTAGGAATAATGATCCATGGTGATCCAATGGTGCATGCCCCTTTGCCATCACCGGGTGAGGACATAACTTATAAATCTAATATATTTCATGGTACACATTGATGATCTATTATTTAATGATACATAATTATACCTTGATGCTGAGAATGCAGACATGGGTCAGATAAGATGTTGAAGCTTGAGCAGAGCTTGTTACTATATCACATAATCTCGATGCATGCCATGGTTTTGACCCACATTTCAACTTCAGAGCAAGGGGCTACATTTTAAAACAAATTCTGATGTATTTTTCATTTTGTTTCACAGCAAAAGCTCGCAAGTCTTGAGACACAGCACCAAAATGCCACCTCTCACTGCAAAAATGAGATTCACCCATTACTGAGGTCAGCTGAAGGCTTGAGAACCATTTTGAGCTCACCCAAAAGGGATGATGTGGAACTTGCAAGCTCTGGGTCACATACAAAAGCTCTTCCAAGAAATAAAAGGCATTTCCCACGTACATCACTCACCTCTGGCTCAGAGCAAGCCCAGGTGCCAGCCTGGCTACCTGGCCCTCTGCCATCCCCTCCAGTGCCCTCACTGCTGCTGGCAGGGATGGGCTTGCTCTTAAAGCATCACAGGAATTTTAGGGGGGGAAATACATAGTGAAAGCAAAGCCAGAGATTATTAAAAGGACAATCTTTCTGAGTTGGGAAATCTTCTCTGATGGTTATTTTTAATGTTTCCTGCTCTGCTAAAAATTAGCACAGGGTTCGGAAGGAACCCTGCAGTCAAATTTTGACAAATTCAAAGGGCTGCTTTTCCATCTCTGGCTCTGTGGTTTCAAAAAAGGGTAGAATCTTATATTTCAAGGAATGAACAAAAGAGCATGACAATATTTTAGCATCCCTGCAAAGGGCCCTGGGTCAGCTGCAGCACAGGCAGGGAGCAGGGACCATCCCTTCCTATAGGCCATGCTGTAAATCCTCACAGTGTCTGCTGGCCATGTGGTTCCTCAGCACATTTTTGTGTGAGAAGAAAGCTCTGGCAAAAGCTGTGGCCAAGCACGCCCTGCCAGGCCTGTCACAAGGAAAGTGGAGGAAGGCAGCCAGGTTGCTGTGGCTGCTCCCAGCTTCCCAGCTGAAAGGAAAAGGAAGAAAAGGGACTGAGAAACAAAAAATGAACTGTGAGTCCTCTAAATAGCAGCTGAGAATCGCTGGCACTAACTGTGAATAAACTGAGTCCAAGAGACTTGCTCTGGAATGTCACCTCATCCCCAGTTACTGCTGCTCCTCCTCCCTCCCCGAAGTCCTCAGTGCAGAAGGATCAGAAACTCTTACAAAATCACAAATTTCTACTCCATACAATACTACTGTTGATGCACTAATAATATGTCCTTTCAAATGCATTTAAATGAATGCATTTAAATACAATAATAATAATTTAATAAGTTTAAGTACAACAATAATAATGATTTAATTTATTATATTTTGTTTATTTTTATCATCACTATTTATAATGCTAAATTAATTTATTACTACATTTAAAAAATTGTGAAGAATATGAAATTGGTCACACAAGGAATTACCCCAAGCACACACCATTCCCTGCTGGGAGCCTAGAAGTGTCCTGGGCAGGAGGTTCCTCCTTCATCAGCCCTGACTTCTGGGTCCCTGGTGTGAGACCCCAAAATCATATCAGTCTGCAACACTGGAAACATTCCTACCAGGAGCTGTCATGTTTATGCATTAAGATCATTTATATCACAACAGTTTTATGTTCAGCTTTATATATAGCATAGAGGGCCTCACTGCAGTGGGATGAAGTTGCTACACATGGGAACAGCACTGCACTTAAAAATAAATATTTTTTAAGCAATGAACATGATTATAGACAAACCTTTATTAACAATGTTAACAATTTTCTTTTTCTTTGTTTGAAAAAAGCATATTTCAGTATGGAGCAAACCATGACTACATGCAAACTGGAAACCCATTTTCCATTACTACATGATAGTTTTTGCATTGTTTTAAAAACCAAAAATCCAAAACCAAACATCTTCTACAATTTTCTTACAAGCACTAAACAGCAACGTTGACGATTCATTATTTTTTAATCCTTGCAAGACTAATTGTTTCCACTTGGAGACAATTTACACATGCAAGATGCAT